TCGGGTCAAATCGCCAAACCTTTGGCAACACCAGGGATCCCCAGAAAACGACCGTCTCTGCCGACATCTCGCCCATCTACTTCAGGATCTACCGCCCCGAAACCTGCCGGTCATGCTCGTGGCCCTTCAATAGCAGCATTGGCAAGGACAGCACCTTCGTCATCGTTTCGGCAGAGCTTGTCGAGGCCCGGAAATGTACCGCAACGGCCGTCAGGGCTCCCTCAATCCGCATCTATCATCCATCTCAGAAATCTCCGCGGCAAAATCGCGACATTGGAAGAAAGGGTACAAACTGCTCGTTCAAAACTTCCGGCTCCTGTACGCACTCCACCCCGATCTTCACCTCGAAGTGGCTCTGCACTCGGTAATCATAATCATATCCCTGCATCTGTCACAGTCCGCAGTCGAAAACGGACGGGCGGCAGTACGATTAGCGGGAATGATTCTTTAGCGGAGAAGGTGCAGGAGACGCCATCGGTTCCCAGGACGAAAGCAAGTCGAACCTCGTTAAATCAGCAACAATCTCCCACAAGAGCCGAATTTTCGATACCTAAACCAAAGACCAGTCGGCCGTCACTAAATCAGCGGCCTTCTTCTCCGACCAGGGGCGACATGGCCGCCCCCCCTCTTCGCCCAGCTTCACGAACGAGTGGGCTCACATCGGCACGGTCTTCTTTCGCGCCGTCACACAGCCGTCCAGGAAGCCGGGCGAGTGTCTCTGGCTTTCCCCGAGCGCCTCTGGGTAGTGGTATAGGGTCCAATTTCGCGCCCAATGCATCCACAGACCGAGTTCGGCCAAAAAGCAGCCTCAGTAATTATGGAAGCGGATACGATGGCACCATGGACGAAGAGAGCGAGAACAGTTTTATTGGCGGGGACAATGAGAATGGAATTACCCCGACGCCCAGGCGGGCGACCTTTGCTCGAACACGTACTAGTGATGTGGGATCTAACATTCCCAGTCCGACCAAACGGGCCAGCATTGGTGGGACAGCGAAACTGCCCAAGCGACAGAGCATGGGCCTGCACGGGAATTTGACGGGGCCAGGCTTGAATAACGTCCAGGAAGGGTACGATGTCAATGAGACTTTTTGAGTATGAATTGATCCCGGACGGATTGTCCAGGTTTTGGAATAGGCCGAGACACCTGCTGACATGCAGTTATGGTGATGATGGTATGAAACTTGAACAGCGTTGGAAACGAGCACAGAGATAGTCTTAGTGCCAGCCTTTTGCGTGCGGCACATCAGATACAACGGGCACCCAACGTTGATTATGATACCCTCGTTCGTTGCAATGACATTGAGTTGGAAAGTTGGGCATTGCTGAGGATCTGTTTGCGGGAGTCTCAGGTCCTTTGTCGGTGTGATGACCTCGTTCCCAATCCCCAGCCCTCGGTCCCCGTCCTTGAACTCACCTCCTCACAGAGTATAGCCAGTCTTCTTGACCGCCTTGGTATACGCCTCCCGCTGCTTGATGCCGCGCAACCACCTCCGGACATTGGGCCAGTCGTGCGCCGCGCCGCCCCGGGTGCCCAAGTCCCGGGCGAAGATGAAGTCGACGCTGAAACCCATCATGATGTCCGCGGCCGAGATGGTGTCGCTATCGTGGTGGGCCACCACGCCTCTGCTATCGCCTTCGTCTTCGCCGCGCCTCACCAGGTACCGTCTCCCGTCTGCCAACTCGGATTCGAGCCAGTTGAGGTCGTTGTGTACGTTTGGGGCGAGACCCTGTTCCATTTCTGCGAGGTATGTGGAGGCAGCCTTGGGGAGGCGCCAGCGTGTGTAGAGGATCTGGTCGGTTCGAGTCGTGGAGTCAGTATTGGGGGATGGGGAGATGTGGACGGGGACGACTCTTTATGGAGAATTGAGGGTCCAAGGACGAGAGAGGGGGAAAAGAACAAAATACATACCGCGAGGGCATGAAGCATAAACGTCCCCTCGGCGGCGGCCATCCATTCCCTCACTTTTGCCCTCGCTCGTCGCTCTTGCGGGGGCGGGAGGAGACGGCCTTGAAGGTCATATGTTTCGCAGAGATATCTGCCATGACACCGAATCACCGGCCAATGTCAGTCATTGTGTAGCCCGTACTTCCTTTTCCACGTGCGGCGGGCCATACGAGAGGTCAGGCCAGGATTGTCTAACGACCGCTCTGGTCCTTTCTCCTTCTTCCTTCCCTTCCTACCTCTGGTATGTCTGATACGGCCACCGACCACTGACATCGGAGAGTAGGAGGAATGTTTGGAGGGGGGGGGACAAACTCACTCGACAATCGCCGCGCTCTCCTGGACCACTAAATCGCCGTCCCTGATCACGGGACTCTTGCCCATCCTCGTCGGGATCTGGCTCTTGAACTCGTCGGGCGCGAGGCCATTGGACGCCCGCGGCGACGACACCAGGTGGTACGGCAGGTTAAGTTCCTCGAGGAGCCAGGCAATGCGGATGGCGCGCGAGGCGCCCAGGAAGAAGAGCGTGATCTCGGGTGTGGGGGTGTGGTCGGACATGGTTATAAGGCAAGACGAGACGAGAAAAGACGAAAAGTTATCAAGGAAGGAAGGACAAGAAAGGAAATCCTGAATGTACAGCTTGGTGGTATCTGAAAGAAAAGAACTTGTTGAGATGTATACGGTGACGAAGTACTCGGTATGGTATAGAGATGAGTTACCCTCTACCGACCTTGTCTTTTCCTCAAACCCGGGATTCGTAGACGCCGATGAAGACAGTCAATGATCCAGCCTCACCTCGGAGGGGAAAAAAGTATGAGGCAGGTACTAGGTATGCATGCCCCTGCCACGCTGCCCACCTTCGGTTCAATGGAGTCACAGAGTTTTCCCTTCTTTATTTACCATGCCTTTGCCAATGATGTTTGACTCTCCTCCTCAAATGACGTTGTTTCTACGCGATGGGCAACTGGAACAAATACTGTGGTACATCATTTCCTTCCTTATGCTGTGCTTTGTATCCCTGACAAGCTGGACTTTTCCAGGACTTCGTGTATATCTCGAGTTCCACGTTGAGAGACTAAATCTCTATTCCTGCCTATGGAGAAATGTCTCAACGACACAGAGGCAAGAAAGAGTCATGGAAGTCAAAGGTCTGAGAGAAGCATGTTGACGGCTCACCCGACTTTGTGACGATGGACTGACAGTAAGAACCCCATCGCCGTCCAGTGTGAGATTCTGAAGGTACGAGCAAGCATCGTATCCATTACAAGCCTCGGGCACTGAGTGAAACTCCTGGATTCTGTCGATTTGGGATGGAATCGCTGCGATACCGAACATATGGGCAGCACAGAACGTGCAAGGTGAGAGCTGGCGCAGCAGTCCAACGCAGTTATCGTCCAGACACTTCCTACCGACCTGACAGTTGATATAAGATGTGACCCAGAACCTAGAAGAGTATGCAGAGAGAAACATGGTGGCCCGCTCCTCTGGGTTTCCATCACTGCATCATGCATTCTCAACAAAAGTCAAGTCGACTGTAGGCTGTCTGGGAGAAAGCCTCTATTTCCAGAACATGTTGGAATGAACGTTATACCATCACATCAGTTCAGACCCGCCAGAAACTCAGAGAGGGTGCTTTAGTGAGGCTCACGCAAGACACACATGTATGTCTCACGGCCCCGTCCACCCCATCTGTATACATGACTAGTCATCACTGTGTCGACGAGTTGGGCAATGGCGGCCGGCTATATGTAATATAGCGGACTCCTCCGGAAAAATGCCTATAGGTACGGTGCACGAGTAGGGTTTGTACACTCACCAGATTTGTCGAGATGGGACCTCGCTCCAACTCCAGTTCTGACATGGCTTCGGACACGTATTCTGGAGGATGAGACAACCAGAGTTAGTCGTCATGGAGGATGGAGGATGGTCTCGTAAGAGCCGCACCATCTATCTCCCAGAAGCCGTGTCTCACTCAATTTTTTGTAGGAGGTTGTGTATGTCTGGGTTACTATGTATCCGCCAGGAAGAAAGGGAAAGAAAAGTCTATCCTCTTTTTCGATTACAAGTATGTACCTACAATACAAGTACATGCCATACAGAGAACGTCTCTTCCACCCACTTCCATCTATATATCTACTCATACATGCATGACCCGATGCGCTGACACGGCGGGTGGCACAAGTCCACCCCTCCCTCCCTCCCTTCCCTCTCCCCCCAAATCTGTCTCGATCCTCCCGCACAACAAAAGGACTCCCGGTTGACCTTTTTCTTACCAAATAAGTACACAGAGCGAGATCGGGATGGATGGATCTAACGTCAGCCACGTGCGCATCCGTAGGACCATCAAATCCATTTTCAGTTCCTGACCCTGATTCGGGATCGCTACGCATACACACCGCACAGAGCGTCGTCGGACCGAATTTCTTGGGATGTTTTCTTCTGTCTTAATATCTGTCTGTCCGCTCTTCGGGATCGAATTTCTCTTTTCCGAGTATTACGTCGGGCTAGGTCAAGTGGTTGGTGGGGCGCTAAATCTCATTCTCGCTCGGGCTTCTTGTTTTTCGCTTTTCGCCAGAAGGAAAAAAAAAACAAGAAAAGGCTTTGGCGCTGGGATCGAGATGCGGAAAGAGGGAAGAAAAAGAAAAAAAAAAAAAAGAAAAAAGGCCCAGCTCTTGGGAGGCTAGCGAGAGACTTACAAGAAGGCCAAGGCCAAGGCCCAGGGTCATTGGCATGCACGCATGTTATGTACTGAGTAGTGAGTGTGCGATCTGATCTCCCCAAAACAACGCACTGCACTGTGTAAAGAACATGGAAGAGTCACGACTCGGTCATATGCTTCTTCGTCTTCTGAAGGAAACTTTTTCAGGGCGTCTATCCTCACACATACACACAGATCAACACACAGACCTGGATAGCCAATGCCAGCTACCTCAGCTCAGGTCACTCTCCTTGAGAGTCTTATCTGCCAACTAGCCCAGGTACTTCTTTCTCTTCGCTTCTGCCCTTGCTCCTTTTACTTTTATTCTCCTTCGTCCTCTCCTTGTCAGAGTCGTCTCTAGTCATAATACTTGGCCTTGACACCCTTGATGATACTCTCCTCCTCGACGCCGGCGCGGCTGACGTTCTTGGCCACCCGCGCCTTCACCCACTCGCCGGCGGTCAAGCCCACGGTGGCCGGGTCGAGGGCCTTGTCGTACCCGAGGCGCTCCAGCACGGGGCTGCCCTGGATGGGCACGAGCTCCGTCTTGTCCTCGGGTCGCACAAAGTACAGCACGCCGTGGCGGTCGACGTCGGCCTGATCCGGCGGGGGCGCCACCACCCGGTGGATGCTCGACTTGAGGAACCCGTTGGTCAGGAACTGCAGCACGTCGGCGATGTTGACCGTGATGCTTTCCGGGTACGGTTTGACGTATTTCCACTCGCCTTCGGGCGTGCGCACCTGTAGGGCCGCCACAGGTTGTCTGTTCCACGGACAAGAGAGTTTGTCAGTTGGGTGGTCCATCAGAAGAGAGAGAGAGAGAGAGAGAGAGTTTGTGTGTGTGAGATAGAGAAAGAAGTGGTTAGGGAATGTTTGATTCCCCTGTTCTCCTACAAAGAAGAAAGAGTTGATTTCTTCCTTTGTGCTCGTCGCGACGTACCTGAAAAGCAGGGTCAAGCTTCCAAAGTCGGTATGTCCCTTGACCCAGACATTATCCAGCTCCTTGTTGACCTCGGGCGACCGATGGCTGTTTGAAAAAAAAAAATGTCAATATTGGCTCTCAAATTTGATATACAGGGGCAGATATTCTCAACGTACTGGTACTTCATGTATCGGAAGTGGCAGTCGCTCTTCTCGTCATAGCGGTGGATGTTCAAAAAGTAGTCCTCGGGCAACTCCAGCACCAGGGCGAACAGCACGAGCAGCTTGCGCACAATCTGGAAGTGGATGTGTTTGGCAAAGTACTGGATCTCATCCCAGTGCTCCTGGATGATGGCCGGGTGCTCGCGCTCGTACTGCGCGATGAACTTGGGGATGTTATAGATCTCGGTGTTGTCCTTGATGCCGTTCTTGATCTCGCGGATCCCCAGGGGTTTGTACCCATTGTAGCCCCCGTTCTCGAGGTCGGCGCGGTACTTGATCTTTTCGTCGGCGGGGAGGTTGAAGACCTGCTTGCACAGGCTGAATTGGCGGTCCACCTCTTCCTGCGTGAGGCCAAAGTTGATGATGTAGAAGAAACCTATACAAGAACCATTTGGGGATCGGGTCGACCGGTGAGCCTTTCTTTTCCTTGCACGTAATTGATCGATTTCGCGCTGGCGAAGGGGGGATCATGCAACTAACCTATTCTGTTGACGGCATCAAAGAGCTGCGCAGCCAACGCTTCTTTACCCCCCGGTTGATCAAACTTGCTGAGGTCGAGGGTGACCAAGTCCGCCCAGTCCACTACAAATGTCGCAATATGTCAGTGACACCATTCGACACAAGACACAAGCCAAGCATAGGGACAATTGCTTGAGTTGGTGTTTCTTACATTCGTGTTTCGTCTCCGGAACCTGGTTCCATTTGGGGAGAGACAAGAATGCCGGGCGGGTGATTGTCTCGGTTGCCATTTTGTACGAGGGAGCCTGGTCTCTTGTCTTGTTGCCTACTCAATAAGTCAAAGGTACTTGTACTTGGTTACGAAAAAGCGACAAGGGGGTCTCTCGATCAAGCATTCCCAAGTCACAAGCCTCCCAAGATAAACGAAACAGCCTGGATGATGCCATCCAGACCAAATATTGCTCAATGCGGGGTCGGGGGATACGTCTGTCTGATACTGACCTATCGCGATCCATGGTTGGGGACGGCCTCTCCAATTGCTTACATATAACATATAAAGATGCGTGAACACTCCATCGAGGATCAGCCAATAGCCTCGGGTTCGGCGAGGCAGAGATATCGCTGTCTACTCTCTATGGCCAGCAGTCAAAGGAACCGAACGGGTGCCACGAGAAGACAGAGGGACCTGCCGCCTGAAAAAAAAAACACATAGGCGGCACCGACGGCATGAACAGAGTTGTGTAGCCGCGTAATGGACGAGTAACGGGATCGCGGGTGTTCCAAGGCACAGGTATTGTTATCGCATCTCACCCGTAGTAGTCAGGAATCTCGGTAAGATGGACACGGGCTTTCATTTTGACTTTGAGAGCCGAACAAGATGTCGAGACGTTCCGAGATTGTGCACAAATATTCGCTTCACATCTTCTTTGCGTAGTCCTTTCTCGAACCCAGACATCCCGTTCCTCGAGAAACCAGGAGTTCCGTGGGATCAACGTTCGCTGGATTGCGATAGGTGTCACGATGGCGTGGCTGAGCACTGTAGGCCTTCTAGCTGTCGCCCTTCGAAGATGTTGAGATCACCATGAGGTACGGAAGGGGAGTGCTTTCGAGTCAGGGGAAAAAGATTTGTTCAGAATGGGAGGGATATGGTTGAGAGCGACGCTCGGAGCTTTTGCTCAGATGGCCAAGCGAGCAAACTCCTGCAGATGGGCTTCGCAATCGCTCTCAAGTAACTCACCTCGGCGTACGTCGATTCACACCGTTCTCCCACGGCACAAATAGCACAAGTCTGACCGGAAAGCGCAGCTTCGGAAATCTCTCTACCGCCATGGGCCAGATCCACAAGTAGTCGAAAGCTTGTCAACAGTAGCACCGCTCTTTGGCAAAGAAGCAATAAAGCCGCCAAGGCGGCGTTGATGTCCCCGGCTTTTGTTTTCTTGACACACGTTCTCTTTTCTCGGCTTCCGAGTCTACCACGGGAAAGACAAGCCTCTGTCTGTTCCCTCACTCCTCTGGTTCAGTTCGGAGATCGAAAAAGGGATAGGAGGTGTGCGTAGAGCTCAGGGGGAGGACAGGACTTTGTGCAACTGTGTACTACTTTGCTGTCTTCGACATCTTGTTGCCTCGAGCACAGGGATATCAAACGCCGTTACAGCGAATCGGCGATACGCCGCATTTGTAGCCTCATTCCATGTTATTGTTCCTGCATCTGTGATCAGTGACCATCCTCGTCACTGCACCTGAGGATAGGCAGCGATGATCATCCGCTCAGTGATAGTTGGTGAAAATGGTCGGTATACCAAATAGCAAGGATTTGCAGGCAGCTGTCAGGTGGCGTTCAGAAATTTCAGAAGCGCTTCTTGGTCTGGCGCTGACGCTCCGAGACATCAATCTCATCGACTTCTGTAGAAGTAGAGATGTGCATGCAAGGCGTCCTGCTCCAGGGGAATAGATCCTGAAGGGGAATCGACTAACGCTCCCCGCAGGAGATTAGTCTTCCTACGCCCGAAGGAAATAACGTCGAGAATCAGTATGGTCTCCGGCCATCGGCTAGAGTGCTGTGAGAAGTAAAAGGCGAAATAGAATGAAGTCGAAAGTCCGCTGCCACGGGAAGTGAGCGTGGATTCGGTGTAGAGTTCGGTTACACCTGGTGAACGTTTGGAGCACTCCGATGTGACTCGTCATTCGTTCAAGACTGTATGATCCAGCCGGTATACAGGAACAGGGACCGTGGGGAGGGTCTCGACGCACAACTCAGCAATAGTGTCGATCATCCACATGCGAGTAAGAGTAAGCCCGGTGGCAACTGACGATTCTGTACACGGTAGAGGTGGTTCTGCGATCGAGTACCGAGCCCGTCCACCTCTTGGTTGTGTAACCGGAACCAGGTAAAGTCCACCACGGAGAGCATCTAGATGCGTTGTAGGTAGACCTCTGACCTCTTGTTTTTCCCCGGGCTGTGGACGGCCTTGACGTGACTTGGCTCTCTAGCGGATGCACAGTTAAGCTTTTTTGAGCGTTTTTCTAGTTTCTTTGCGGGGATAACACACCGTCAGCCGGAAGAGGTCAGTGTTGCCGCAAGAGAATGGATAGTCTTACTGCTTTGCTAGGAAAAAATGACGAAGCAAAATGGTGATGAGCTCAATTTCTGGCGGAATCCTTAGGCATGGGTAATCGTACCCTGGAATAGAGCGTGGGCCAGGTCGCAACTCCTCGTACTACTCGCATGTACTCGGGAACCCGTAACTCTGTTCGTATAGCCACAGCACGAGGCTGGACTCGGGTCATGACCCGTGGATTCGGGTAGTGACAACGAGGCCGGCGCAAGCCGGGGGGCAGTGGTTTTCGCTCGTTACAAAGAATCGTGGTTAAAAATAGGGCACGTGGAGCCTTTCTGGTGCTGTGGCCCAATTACAAAGCGTAAGACGGTCAAGCTTCTGTGCCGAGACGGCTTGAGTAGGTCAAGCCTTTTTTAGCGCATTCGTTCACGTACCATTTTATGATTGGTTGAAATTCACATTACCTGTATACGGCGCAGTCCCCAGTCCCCGCAGCGCAGCCGCAGCATCTTTGGCTGGCAAAATTCCCTATTTCGAGCGCATCCTTTGTCATCCTCACCACCCCTCAACATCCAATGACCCTCAGATCTAGGTTCATCAGCACTAATCCTGTCTCGTCTATCGCAATCACCGCCATAGCCCGATCTGTGCAAGCGCTGACCAGCTGGGCAGTCCAGAAAATCTCTCGAGCCGGTTACACCACTCTGTGGCGCATCCTCTGTATTCGTACCTCGTGCTCCTGTGTCCCTGGATCTAGCTGCAAATGCCCAAGCTGACAGACATCACAGGTCCTCGGTAGGTCCTTGTGGTCCTTGCTACTTCCACACTCTCCCGCGGCCGCCACAGGATGGAGGATGTACTGAGGCTGCTGTATGACGTGGGAATTGAAATTTGCCTGGTGACAGATGAATCCTCCTTTCTTTTGGCCCTCCCCTTTGTGGCATGGTCTGGCTAGATACACCTCGCGAGTTCACAGAACGATGCCAAATGGAGTCAATGTGGGCGGTGAGCACACCAGAGACTGGGGAAACAAGAGCAGCCGAGCGAACAACGCACCAAATCACTGCATCGCCGCATGGCCGCCGGAGTCAGCAACAGCGCAATCTCCTTCTGGCCCTGGTCTTAGCTCCCAATCCAAGCTTTGCCTCAACGTTGCTTAACTTGGCCCCCTCCAAAATGGCGAATACTATTAGCTCGCCACACGATATGCTCCTCCTGGGTCGAGCTCTACGCACGCCCGTCTATATATTCAGCTGTGGGCTCTCGCTTGAAGTTAGGTCTCACTCATACAACAATCACTTCATTCTTTACTTGACTACATTAACAGCTCAGTTTTCGCTTTCTCAACACATTCTCTCGCTCATTCAAACAGCAAACCGACTTTGACAATAATCTTTCTTTTTCCTATCGTTGAACGCACGCTCACTAGCACATCATCACACGATATTCATAATGTATTCCAAACTCGCACCAGTCCTCGGCTCCTTGGCCATTGCCTCGCTCGTTGCAGCAGTCCCCGTCGACGTTGAGAAGCGCGATATCTGGTTTGGTGGCCGTAAGCCCCACCTCGAGAACTATCAGGGTGGCCAGCCTTCAGCCTCAGCCTCTGCCTCGTACAGCGCTGCCAACGGCTACTACACCCCATCAGCAACCAGCGGCAGTGGCTCATGGTCCACCGGTGCCCCGCCGCCGCCGTCGTCCTCGGGCTCCAGCGATGGCAGCAGCAACCCGTTCAGCTTCCCGCTGTCCAACGGCTTCCCCAACATCCAGAACCCCTCGTCCCAGCTCACGGCGATTGAGTCTCAAGCCCACGGTCTCTTGCCCAACGGGCCCCCACCGCCATCGCCCCCTGCCGATGACGATCTCAAATCATTGAGACTGATTGCCTTCAATGAGCTGTTTGAGGTTGCCTTCTTCACTGAACTCCTCTACAACGTGACCCACAATGTCGCCGGGTACCAGTTCCAGGACCAGAACCAGCGACAGACCATCATTGACGCCATTACCGCCGTCCAAGCCCAAGAGGAGCTCCACGCCCTGAACGCCAACGGCGCCCTCGCCCACTTCAACGCCGGTCCCATCCAACCCTGCAAGTACGAAGTGCCCGTGTCTGACTTCAAGAGCGCCATCAACCTGGCCAAGACCTTCACTGATGTCGTCCTCGGAACCCTCGGTGACGTCCAGACCCATTTCGGTCAGAACGGTGACAACGGCCTCATCCGCGGTGTCGCTGCAGTCATTGGCCAAGAGGGTGAGCAGAACGGTTTCTACCGCAACTTGCTTGGTCTCATCCCCAGCGGTGCTCCCTTCTTGACTGCCTCCACCCGCGAGTTCGCCTTCTCTGCCTTGAACCAAGACTTTGTTGTTGCCGGCTCCTGCCCCAACATCAACACCATTGACCTTCCCATCTTCGGTGCCCTGAACGTCTTGACCCAGAACATCCAACCCCAGGACCAGCAACTCCAGTTCTCCTTCACCGCCACCGGTGCCTACTCCCAGTATGCCAGCAACTACCACAGCCTGAGCTTGGTGTACATCAACCAGCAGAACGTCCCCGTTGTTGAGCCCATCACCCAGGCCACGGTCAGCGGCAACACCGTCACCTTCTCCGCGAACTTCCCCTTCACCGAGAACGACATGTTCGGTCTGACCATCGCCGCCGTTGTCGAGGGATCCGGTCCCTTTGCTACCGTCACTGATGTTGCCGCCGCCACCAAGTTCGGCCCTGGCTTGATCGAAGTCAACTAAGTGCACGCATATATCCTCGACTGGGAAACCCCCATTGTGTGATGGAATTTATGAAAACAGAATAAACTGGTATGACGCATGCGGAGAGAGAGAGAGAAAAAGAAACTTGTAATCCGGGTCTTTGGTTTTTGATTTTCTGGTGGTTCATTCACCCTTGGGTGTTTTTGTCTGGTTTTGCAAAGGGGTTTGACATTTTTGATATATTCGTGGTAAACCCTCAATTTTTGGGAGGGAAAGGTGGGGGAGAAGAAGACACATAGTTCCAATCTGACGTTGTTCTCCTCAATTCGCTTGATCTTGTCTTGTCTTGCGCTTTTGGCTTTTGTGTAGAAAGTGACTCTTCCAACACTTTGACAGCAGCGCCTAACTCTCTCCGAAGCAAAGGGCCCCGGTTCTCCGTGGCAGCTCTCCCTGGTTGAACACCAAGGCGGGGATCCTCAGTTAAAGTCAAGGGTATATCGTGGCAGTCTTCCCCACTCTGTCCTACTCCTCCGCTACCCACGACCTCCACCTCCATCTCCACCTCGACACGCACCTCCTCTTCACCCAGGCTCAACGCCTCATTGCATACAGATGCGGGGGCTTGGAACCAGATCCCTCAGAGCGAGAAAAGCGGGGTCACTCATCGGATTCCAAGGTAATGTATGTTATGTAGGGCCACCATTATCGAACGACCGGGTGCCGTTCTCGAGGCGAACGTGAACCTGGGGTTTCTGAACAACGCTAGCTAGGGATATTGTCCTTCGTACTCTACTCGCAAGGGACGGGATTTCGCTTTGTCCATCTATTCTATCCAGCCATCCATTTAACCGTCTTACGGGTCTTGCTTTGAACGTCTCAACGAATATTTGACTGTACTGTGTTACACCCCCTCTCTCTTTGTCTTTCACACACACATACATACACGGATACGAAAGGAAAAAAGAACTCGAAGAAAAAGACATGTCGAACCAGACGGTATATTTCGTGACTGGAACCACACAGGGAATCGGCTACGAATTCGTGCGCCAGCTGCGAGAGCGCCCCGGGGCAGTCGTGTTCGCGACGTCGCGGGACCCGGAGCGGGCGACGAAGCTGCAGTCGCTGACGGACCGGGGAAACGTGCACGTGGTCAAGATCACCAAGCAGCCCGAGGCGGTGCAGGAGGCGGTGGAGGCGGCGGCTCTGGTGAAGAAGGTCGCGGGAAAGGTGGACGTGGTGGTGGCCAACGCGGGCATCATCGGGCACGAGACCAGCATCGCCGACGCGCCCGTGTCCCAGTACCAGGACTTTCTGGACGTGAACCTGCTCAACAACATCGCCTTGTTCAAGGCGCTGCGGCCTCTCCTCCTCGAGTCAGCGCGCCAGGGCAACACGCCCAAGTTCGTCGCCATCAGCACGCAGTACGGGTCGCTGGCCATGGTGGAGGACCTACCGGGCCAGTCGTCAGCGTACGCCGTGTCCAAGGCCGCCCTGAACATGTTCATCCGGCACATAGCCTACGAGGAGAAGAAGAACGGCATCGTCGCGTTCCCCATGCACCCGGGCGTCGTGGCCACTGAGACCGTCGCCCCGCTCGCCGAGCGCATCGGCCTCGCCACCATCGAGCCCGCCGAGAGCATTCGCGGCATGATGAAGATCATCGACCGCGCCACCGTCGCCGACGAGGTGCGTCTGTGGAGGTACGATGATACCCATCTCCCATGGTGATTGCCGACGCGCCACGACGAGCAGCTAGTACGGGAGAGAGAGAGGGAGAAAAGACACCCAAGGATAACAGAAGACTGTGTACTGAGTACTGGGCGACTGACTCTCTCTCCTTCGTCGATGGGTATTGAAAGTCATGTCAGATATCGACATCTCACAACCTATCTGGAATCCATTGTGTTCTACTTACAAGTTTCTTGCCCGAGCAAAAGCTCCCTGTTTCCTGCATGTAAGACGTCTAGCAAAAGCATTTACTTCAGTCCTCTACATACCACGGTAATGTGTGCCGTTGCCTGTGGTACTGGCCTCTTAGTTTCTCTGCGTTAGGGGTATAAAAGCAGTAAATATTCAGGATGTTCGCTACTCGTGTCTAAGATACAACATTCCCACTCGCAAAGCACGGCCCGCAACCATAAAGCGCGTTTTTTCCCTGTTAAAACCAAGACGAGATCCAAGAAACGCCCTGCACTAGCATCCTTCTCATCATCGCTCAGACCGCGTCCCATTCCTCTCCTCCGGTCGTGGTTCACAATCAGACTGCACCACCGATCCTACCGTCGACGGCGACCACTCCGAATTCTCTCGAATCCCGTGCTTCAGCCTCAGATGCCTCTTAACCGCGTCTGGCCGGACGTGGCTATACTTGCACAAGTGACACTTGACCTTGTCCTCATCCGTCGCCAGGCCATGCACCGCCTGAACGTGCTGAATGCACCGTCGCTTCTCAGCGAAAGGGCGGCTGCAGTGCGGGCATTTGAACGGTTTTGTATGCTTGTATTCATGCCGCCTGAGCTCACATGGGCGTGCAAATGACTCTGTGCAGTCTCCAAAGTGGCAGCGATATTTATATGTTGGTAAAGGCACAATGCTCAATGGCGATGATTGGAGGTCGAGCGCTGGAAATAGATCGGCATCGGTGAAAGGTGGTTGAATGAAGCTTTCATCAGACGAGAACAGGGAAAAGTCGTTGTAACTATCGTACTCAAAGTTGTCCAGATAGCTTAGGTTGTTCAAAATGTCGTAATCCAACTTCATTCCCTCCATGTCGGAAGAAGGGTCGGGTGATATATCAAAGGACAGGGAAGGGGTGGATTGTGCGGTATATGTGGTTGGGCTTTGGGCAACAGAGGCCTTTTGCAGATGGTGTGCTTGTTGGGCTTGGTATTGTTGTAGTGGTAATGTGCTCTCCAAGGGCTGACACGTCGCTCCTTGGAGGGAAAAGATGTAAGATGGGTCCCAGAATTCGGTGTGGGTGTGACCTTGATGCAGATCAGGGTTCATGCAGGAGGGATCAAAGGGCGCCATGATTTCACGTAGCGACTGCGTGCTCGATGGCGGACTATGTAGTACAATCGGCGAAACGTGTTGCTCGGGTTGTGTTTGTCTCTCCTTTCTCGAGGCGGGACAGCGTCTCGGGTAGGAACAGAGCAATCCACAGTCGCAAGCCAGGCTCCATCTGACTGCACTTTCTTCGATATCAATGGAGGATTATCCCACTGATGATAGCGACCTCTCAGGATGGTCGCCATCAAAGAGTTCGGCTGGAGTGCTCTCGGTGCGTGCAAGAGCATCAGAGGGATTAGGTGCCCACTCAGCAACAATGGGCAAATGCCCAATGCTGGAGATTCTAGGTCACTGTTGTGGTTATCAGACGCTAATTTTACCTGCACACAAGGCACAGTTACTAACCGTCGTCTTACATTGCCAGAGTTGGCCGGCTGACGTTGTTGAAGGGACTGGCAAAGTTTGTGGGTCATCTGCTGGTCAGTCGAAGCCAGGCTTGGTGGGAGCGAAACTCTTTGCAGTGGTCTGTTGTCGGAATCTCGAGGTCGTATGTGTGTACCTAAGAAAAGGGTTAGTGTGGCTATACGGGCTTGCCTCGAGCTATGGTCATACGTTGATCCGGACTTGACAAGAACTTCAGATCGTTGCTGCAATATGTTTCGTCCAGGTGCGCCCTGGCCTCTGTTGACTTCTCAACAGTCATTTCTAGCCGCTTCTTGACGTCGTGTACCTTGGCCCTACGACCGAGGTCTTCCATTGGCATCGAGAGGTTACCGTCCGAGGAAGGTGGCATTGAGGAAAGATTAGTGAGAGCCGAAGGCTGGAATTGTGAAGGCGTGAGGCTGAAGCCCCTAGGTTCTGTGCAGAAGAATGCGCGGTGTACGAAAATCACTGGAAATCAAGCAACGGGACAAATAATTGTGAGGGAAGTAAAGAGGAGAGGGAGAAGTCCAGGCAACGAGGCTGGAGGAAACGAGCGGCTTTTGACTCGTGAAGGTGCGCGGGGAACGAAATGTGGCCTACAACGGGAGGATTGGAGCTAATGTCGCTAGTGGTGGCGGTGCTTGGTTTATTGATATATTGTTGGTCAGATTGTGTCGGCCACACCACGCTAAAGATCCCGCTAAACCCTAAACGCTCGTTGCACCAGATGAGGCTGAATCGGTGGAGAGAGGATCGAGTACCACCAACTGCTGCGCCTTGACTCACCTTTCACCCAGTCACCTAGCTCACCCCCTTCGTCAATCGCACATCTCACAAATTCAATTCGATCTCATGAGCCCATCTACCCCTCCTTATCACCAACCGTCATGAGATAGACGATCATTCTAGGTGTTTACGGCATGGTCTCCGAGTCTGATTCTGGCTGGGTGTGGAACCCTTCAAGCCTTATGCGATGCGTCGACGATTCAAAAGCTGGACTCTCATGCTGTTCCAAGCGCGAGACTGTTCTCTTACCCAATCAGATAGGTAGCAGCTCCAGCGGCCTCTTTACTCGTGTGGGAGGTCGGCTATCAATATAGGCCGTTGTTACCCTTGGAGCTCGTTTGCACAACTTAGCTTTTTCATGTTTCGATACTTGCCATCTGGACTGTTCCATGTGACACTTTATGCTAGATCCCAGCACTTGTCAACGCTGCTGGTTTGTCGTCAACAGTGCTGGGCTCATCCGGAAGTTTCGAACAAACTGTGGCAAGCGCCACTACAATTCTCAAGCAGTGGACTTGATCTGGATTCCTCAGCAGCAGAAGCGTTCTCAGCTCATCATGGCTCTTCCAGAGAGATAAAACAGCATCTTGCTCACATCGCTAGGGCTCCACCAGCTACACCATCTCAATATGAAACTCATATTTCCCGTGCACTTCACCCGAGATTGTCAAGTCGGTTGTCGTTTGGCATCACCACGGGGTTTGATCAGGCAAGTATCACTCCAAGAATGCCTCACTTACTGGAGAGACAGAAAACGCCAGCTTCAAACGTAGAGCAGAGCGCTGCAAACGAGCTTCTTTTCTCCAAGAGGGTACAAAATGTTCGCTGCAATCTGTCTCTCTCTCTCCTTCCCAGACCTTTCAACTCCCAGGTACCTAATCTTATCTTCAACCTGCATATACATAAAACACTCATTATAGCGAGCCGATACCTCCAAAAAGAATCGATTGGCACATCTCACAGACTTGCGAAGACCCAGACGAGCGAGCGAGCGGGACATTTCGCGCCGCATAGAGTCGTTTTACCTCTCGGGAAGAGTGTTTCGTCCCTCTCCGTCCATCTTTCCGACTCTCCTCCACGACAACGACTTCGATTCCGACTTCGACTTCTGCCGTCTTGCTCGGTTTTCATGCTGTCCCCAAGCCCTCCGCCTCAATTCTTTTGAGTGAGTGAGTGAATACAAGAGAACAAAGCGGAAGAAAATGTCCACCGATCCTCAATGGCCAAAAAGACGGAGACTTCCACCACCAGCAGCCAAGCCTCCGAAGATATCCAACGTGCGCTGCCAGACGGAAGGGTGCACGGGCAGGGGTCCGCGCGGGACGAGATGTCCCATCTGTATGTGGATAATCCGGTGATTCTTGTTCTCCTCCTCCACGGACTTGGGACTTGGACACAGATATGGAACGGACTTGGATGGGAGTCGGAGTAGGGGTAGAAGGAGGAAAATCTTTGGCTTCGAGCCTCCAGAACTGATGATAATGGGCGACGACAGAGGCGACAGGCGACGCCGATGACGTCGGTGTTCGTCCATTTGTTCGTACGTACCTACATCCGTTCAATCCTTTCTCCTCTGGCGTCTCGAAGCTTTATTCTCAGCTACCCATCGAGCCGGGACTGTCTGTCAAGACCCCAACCCCATCTCGGTCACGAGTATATCTCGATGTGGCTGGCTTGGCTGGCATTCTTCACGAGTGAGTTTCCAGGGTGAACGGGTGAGCTGGAAGAGTAAATCACCCGGGAAAAAGGGATATTGTTTATAGAAGAGCTCACTCCTCCCAAGATGGAGAAGACGTACATCTGGACTGGTTCTACTCTAACAGGCACTGACATAGGTATCTTACCTAGGTAGGCATCTATCTGATTCTATCCTCTACGATAGCACGACGCAAATCGGTAGAGCCGTGGGCTCACATAAATTCGATCTCTTGACCGTCCCCGTGGTTGTCGTCCGGGTCTACCGCACGCTCTTTGCCTTTCCCTTTATCCTTGGATTCAGCATCGCCCCCATTGACTGGTAGGCCCAATGTCGCGATCTCGTCGTAATCATCACCAACTTCCTCAATCCTACCACTCCTGTTATTCGGACTCCTGTCTGTTGCCACCCCCCTCTTCGCCATCTGGCCTTGAGCACCATCTCTTCTCACGACCCTCGCCCGCCCATCACTTCCCAAGCGCACCTCGAGGCCCAACTTCTCGGTCGTCTCCCTCACCAACTCGGCATCTTTTTCACCTGGTGCCGGGACAATTTCCCTCGCTTCGAGAGAAGAAACAAGCGCCTGGTTTTCTGGGTTGTGCTCCAAAAGGAACTTTAGACACATCACGGCGTGCTCTTTGATGTACGGATTGCATGCTATAAGCCCGAAAAATGTCAGTGAAATGAAATGGAGCAAGTATTTGGGCGGACTTGGTAAGCCAAGACGACAATGAACAAACTCGTCTCTCGGAAAAGACGTTTGTTTGTAGAACAAAGAGCGGAAGGACTGATCACCTACCATCATAGGATGTACAACTCAGGATCGTCTCAACTCCACCATACTCCCGAATTTGATTCTGTACTGTCGGTGACTTCCAGACCAAACTCGACAACACCAGCACGATCAGTTTCTTGAGGTTACGCCACTCAAAATCGGCTGGCTCTTCGGTCACAGTTGTTGCCGCGGGAGGAGCTTGTGCAGGGGGTGACGGTGACGGTAAGTCTTTTGGTGGTTGGGGAAGCGACTCGGTGACCGTTGAGGTGCCATTCTCTTGTGCGGGTCCTTCGGCTGGCATGGCAGTATCATAGGGTCTCTCCACGGCAACGTGAGCAGGAAGCGTTGATGCTTGCTCTGGATGTTCGACGCCAGTCGTGCTTTGTGCCCGAGTTCCATTGGTCGGCATCTTCAAGTTGCCATTCGCACCCGTTGCGGGAGGAGGCATAGCCTGCGTCAACCCGACCTTCGCGATACTTTGATCCAACTCTTTGATCAACGTTACCAAATCATACACGATCTCCCACTGAACGAGCAACTTTTTCCAGTCGTTGTTTTCTGTGAGCACTGCAAAGAACTCTAGAAACTGGTACACGCCTTCGTACACACGCTCCATATCCCACAAGTTCAATGGGAAATCCTCTGCTAGCGCGAGACCAGCGCGAATTTGACCTTGCAGGTAGATCAGGGCGCAAGTTTCGGGAATGATGTTGCCTCGGAAGACGATGAAAATATAACGAACGGTGAGGACGTCTACACGACTGAGTGGTGAGGGAGCCAGTCGAGGTTTTTGGTGCTGTGCTGTTGGTGCCTGCTCGCCTGTCGCATTTTGTTGCTGTTGCGCCGCCGAAGGAGGGCTGTATTTTGCGCGGAATATGTGTGTCAGAATCTTGATAACAACAGCTTGCGCTGGGGAGATGATGTCCTTGGGCTGGCCAAAGTCCGCGTACGCATGGGACATGAGTCCATTTTTCAGAATGGCTTCCATGATTTGCACCATCATTTTGAAGTAGAACTCGTCATCTGGCAAATCCCACGCAGCGATGAATATCAACAACTCCCGCAGAACGTTACGCCCTGCTTCTTGAGCGAGTAATATATGACAGCGGACTGCTTGCATGTTTTTTAGACCCTGCTGATGTGCAGTGGTACTGTTCTTCGAGCCAAAATTGTCCACAATGCCTGCTTGAATGATCATGGGCAATGCTTCGATTTCAGTCGGCCCAAGGACGAGGGGAACATCGGTGAGCAGACCGCGTTCTTGATCTCCAGATCCACGGTAATCGTCGTCTTCCATACTATCTCCGACGCTGATGAGATCGTCTTCGTCGTCTTCAAGTTCATAGTCCTCTGGATCAACATCGTCATCATATTCCGCTCCGTCGTACTCGCCTAAGGGACCAGACCGTGGATGTAAACGGGCCATGAGTTCGTCTTTTGCTTCTTTCAACGTCGCAGCTGCAGATTGAGCGGTTCGGGGCATGCTCAGGTCTTCTTCGGTCAAATCTTGGGAGGTCTCATTCAGGTCGCCATACGACCCCGGCTCGGGTAGATCGCTCCAGTGCGCATCCCTCAACTTGGCACTAGGTTTGTAGCCATTGACTTGGGTGAGAGCCATGATCTTCTCGGCAACCTGCTTGACTTGTGTGGAATTGGTCTCGGTGGCAGCAACATCCTCCTTGTTCTGCAACCAAGCCCGTAGTTCCGCGCCTACTTTCAACAGTACATCTGGGCTATCGTCCAGTTGATTCGCGTTCATACCCGACAGAGTTTCCATGTCGGTTCTGATCTTATCCATGAGAACTTTTGCCGCCTTTTGAGTCTGCTCATCCGGCTCTTTATTGGTGCTCATCAGGTCGAACAGCGCATGGACATCGTCGATGTTGTACCCGGGGTCACCGCCATCCATCGCAAGCCGACCCACTCGTCGTGGCATTTTCTCAACAGTCGACCGGATCCTGTCCTCCTTTGCAGCATGGTCCTTGCCTTCATCGTCGACAGTCTGCTGGTCTGGAAGGCTGCTCCGGTCGTCAACCTCGTTTGCTTGGGACTGTCCAAACAGATCCAGCCACAGAACCAACTTTCGCTGTTCATTGTGCATAATGAAATTGTGCAAGAACTGCAGGCAAGTGATCAACAGCCGCTTATACAGATTCACCACTTTTTGCCATCTTTCCTCGTTTCGGGGGTTTGCCTCGCCATCGAAACCCCGAGCTGTGACCTTAACACAGACATCGATGAGTTTGAGGATCTGTTGATCGAACCCTTTTTCCGCAGCGAGGTTCTGTGCTTTTTTGGTGGTGGCAAGGAGGTTGCGCGCGATGGTACATAGATCATTGAGTCGTTCAATGTCCTTGACCAGGCTGAGGTAATGGGCTGCAATGAGTTCGGAGCTGCTGCCGCCGAAGCCTAGGTGCGGAGGGTGTTTGTAGGTAAAGGATTGTTGTTCTAGGGCCGGAAGAGCGTGCTTGAGCACCGTCGTCAAGCCCTCCCATATTCGAGGGTTGAATCCCAGCGCAGATCGGACGTCGCTCTCTTGATGCGATTTGTACAGAATTTGTTTACCGGCAATTAACAGGTGTTCCAATCTCTTCTCATCGATCAATCCAGGACTTTCGTAGTGAGTCTGAGTGCCGGTGAGGACTAATTGCAGGAGTATCGAGGGGCTCATGCTGATAGCTGGCACTCATAGTCGTTGTGACCTCTGTGAGCCGTGCACTGAAGTTTTTGGTGATTTTAGAGGATCTTGGGCACGATGGGGTTGAAATTCCGCAGCCTGCAGTTTCCGGTAAAGCGGTACAGTCTACGACGAAGCAGGGATCCTGCGGTCGCCATAGTTGCCTTTGGACCGGCAATTACAATATGCCGAGGAAATATCCCTTCTCCGTAGTAGCTGGCACCTTGCCAGCTCTATACAATTTTTTTTTTCTTGCTCGACATTTTGCTAACATCTATTAACAATTCTGCCTCGTTTGCTACCTATCAAACGCCCCTTGAACATGCTGAATTTGTGCTGAATATGACATGTGCTAGAGTGCGGCATTGTTTCAGGGGTATATGCCACAGATTGCAACCTGCCAAAAATCACATCATTTATCCGGCCCTTTGAGATACACCGATAGTCGGACCTCAAGTCCAGAACGGTGTGCCGTGCACTGCTCCCTCCTGCCTCCTCTTTCAAAGTAGAATGCCTTCTTTCAGACATACCTTTTGTTCCTTCAATCCTGTCCCCAGCGGCCTTCTTATCCAACATATCCTTGTCCGCGGGGACTATTTGCCAACCATCGCCTCGGAACGAATGACTCAGGTTGTGATCAACTTCAGGTAGTCGGCAACGATCAGGGTGATCATTCTGTTCAATGTCAGCCTGTGAACCCTCCTGAGGGAGTGTTTGTACTTACGCATGTGGTGCAATCCTGACATAGTAGGTGCCGAATCCACGGTAGAATCTCAACCAACCTTCATCGCGGACCACCTTCTTCGCACAATCGAAGAAGCCGTTGTAAGGGAGCTTCCCGTCAGGACCTCTCTGCTGCTTCTGCAACCGCGTCTTGATGAAGTCAAATGGCAAGCTGAAGAACGAGGCAAAGAACCCAGCAATCGCGGACGCGCCAAAGCGGTTTGAGCTTTCTGAGATATCAGGGAAATATTGCTTCAGCTGAGTTTTGGATTCGGCAAAGAACGTGAGTTGACCAAAGTTGAGCGCCATTGCGCGGATGACGGTGGGGTATGCGCCGGCCCAGAGAGCCGTGATGCCTTCAGCTTTGGCAATGCGAGTTAAAGCGTCAAACACTGATCTATAGTTGGCACGGGCTTCTTTGGGTTTCAGCCCGTCAGATTGCATTCGAATGAGTGCCAAATCAGCGGGGTTGCCAACCATGGCAGCCAAACCACCAGCCGCAAGGCCTGCGGCGCCTCGCTCTGCGAATGTGACCTTTGTGCCGTTCTGCTCAGCCCGTGCCTGCAGCATGTTCTGGAAGGTGTCAAAGAAGCCCAGTCTTGCGGTGGTATAGACGGCTTGTCTCAACAGACCCGCTGAGAGACCGTTGTATAGATCGAGCACCTTCCCTTGAGCAATGATGTCTCTTGTTATCCCCAGAGCCGTGGGCTTTGGTCCTGTTTTCACACCCTCGCCCGCCAGCTGTAGGCGCACCTTAACCATGTCTATAGGCTGGATGCACGCGGTTGCAAACATGCCTGCAAGACCTCCGTTGACAAACGGGAGAGCAGCGCGCACGACTGGAAGGTGGAGGAAGTCATTTTTGGCCTGTACAGGGTTGTTCACTGCCTCGCTCGCGGCTTCTTCAACCTTTGTGGCGGCCGATCGAGCGCCATCCTTGATCCGGTTGGCAGTGCTACTAGACATTGTGCAAGGAGGGGAGAGGAGAGATGAGGCGGGGGGAATTAGGTCGACGTTGGCTCAGACAGCGGCAACACAGCGAGGAGAGGGTTCGTATCTAAGCTGGCGCAGTGTCTCGTTAGCAATTTCCCCACTTGCGTCCAAACATCGGTAAGGTGTGTGGTGTTCGAGAAACCAGCTCCAGTGGTCGAGTATTGCTGCAGGAAGAGGTGTCTAGACACGAATGGACGATGACTCACGAAACAGCAACAAACACCAGCAACTCTGTGCAAGTCAACGACTTGTCTCGTGCGGTGAGAAGGCGGTCTACTGACTGCCTATACACCGAGCGGGGAAGAGGAAGACGTTTTGGTGCGGAGGCTTTGGAGCTCGTCAGACACACACAACACGCAATTGGGACTCGACGGCAGCAGGCGACAGCAGGCGACAGCTCTTCACGTCGGTGACCGACGGGATGGATATACAGGAAGATGCAAACCCACACCAAGATGAAGGTTGTCTGGAGGACTCGTGGGTGTATTGCTGGGTTAAGAATGAAGAATCAAGGACGGCCCAACAGCTAGTGGGAGAAAAGGAAGAAGCCGGTCGGAAGAGAGGCTTGCCAACTCGGTTCAGATGATGTGCAATAGCTGGAGTTTCGTGAGCAGCCGTGGCGGTTGGCCGTGTGTCGGCGTCGTGTGTGAGTGTCTTTGAGTCGACCACTGACCTTGCCCAGGTGTCTGACCCTGTCAAGCCCTGTTCAATGGGCTAGAGCTAGGACAAAATGACGCTGGGGAGGGGAGAGGGGGGCTTAGGAATGGCAACATTCCAGGCCCGAGGATTGGATGAGAAAACCGGCCTGCGGCTTGATGGGCATTTGCGATACTCCGGACCCGGTTTAGCGATCAGAGGAACAAGGCGCCAGATGCGGGGAAAGGATTTTTTGGTGAGCCAACAAGCATCATGCACCACCAGGCGCTGCCACCACCACCTAAGAAGCCCATTCCAAGGGGATCCCCAGGGGACCCTTTTTGTGTCTTGTTTGTTGAACCGGACCGTTGACATGCCACCCATTCGCATCCCCCCAGCCAGCCCTTTCTCGCTACAACCAAGGATACCACCGCGTCTCACCACTTTTTCCTTTTCCCCAATGCATTTGGGGTTAGACCGAGGCCTCACCACATGCTACAGACTTTCTCCTTCTGCTTCAATAGCTTTTGGCCTTTCCCCAATCTAAATCGTCCAATGGATCCCTACTCAATCAAAACAGCTCGGATGTCGCTCTGGATCCCTGCGAAACTGCCAAGTGGCGAGTACACCGAACGAAAGACCCTCTGTCGGCCCCTCGGAAAATGGCATCACCCCCCGAAACACTGCTTTCGCGGAAAGATTCGGGCTATTCCTCACTCTCCGTGGCCCACTGTCCCAAGATGTCCATCGAGGCTGATCTGAAATTGCACGTGCAACGAGGCTGATCAAAGCATTGCCTAAGAATTGGTGTGGATATGATGGGATTTGGTGAGTTTAGTGTAGTGACGAGCTTGCAAAGCCAGACTCGTCAGCACTGGCGTGTTGATGTCATTGTTGTTTGGTCCCCCACTTGTTCAATGATACCGCGGATAGCCGCCCACTCTAGGCCCTAGGCCTGCTGGTGCAGCCCAAGTTAAGCCCTTGTGGCCCCTGTGAAGTCGCTTAGCGGGTTTCCCAACGCAAATCTGGGGAAGGCTTAATAGTTAAGCCCACCCACTGTAGCGGCCTCTATCATCCGCTCCGGGCACTCTTTTTGCCTACACCCAATGCCGACCTCGGCACCGCGGTAGGAGAAACTTTTCCCTATCAACCAGCACCACCATGCATCAGAACCTCAGCCTTGTCACAGGACAGAACCATGCTTTACCAAGTACAAGTATGATGATACTATGAGGGATGGAAAATTGCTTCTTGCGCCCCTACGCTGGGCACAGCGCCCAATCCCGGAATGTTCCGAGCAGCTTTCCGTCAGCCACCATTCCATGAGCAAAAGAGGACCGGTCTTGCTCCCGAAGCTGTGGCTCGATCCCTCACTCAATGCTTGGAATATCTCTGGGTTCTTAGCCGGCTACCATTCCGGATAGGACAAATTTCGGATCCTAACCTCGACGGAACGACCATGAATGCGCCATTTATCTTTCCACACGGAGGTAGAGACTCCGATGGTGACAACGGCGCTCTGCGTGGTTGACGGTAGATTTGTCGGTCAAACCCTAGGCTTGTCCTTCCGCTTCAGGAGCGCTTTGACGTTGAAGGGTTTTTTGATCTCCTTGATTCGGCGGAGCAAATCTTTCATTCTCTTCTCACGCTGTTCTGGCGTCGTGGATCCATTTTCGCGGGGCCCGGCCTCGGAAGCCGCAGTGGACGCCGGTTCAGTTGACGCTCTTTTCTGCCTGTTGTCTTTTGCGATCGCTTGGTACACTAGAACCCAACCTGCCACCCGCTCCTTCTTCGGTGCAATCTGCTCACCCGTAGTGCTTTTGCGGAGCCCTGTTTGTAGTTCGGTGTCCTGAGCCTCGGCCGATCTCCAAGGACAATATTCCAAGTGGTTGTCTATGGCATCCAATTTCCCAATCGCAGGTGGTTCGCCACGATATAGCCACAGACCCAGTGAGCGGAAACAGTGGTGGCATTCAATGACATCCTCAGATCTCCTCTCCCAGCCACAGATCGCTAGTCTAAGTGTGTCAATGTGAGGGCGTTCGAGTTCACTGAAACGGAATTCTTCCAACTCTTGAGCATTTACAAAAGGGTTCAATGGTAGAGGCTCAACGGGGGGGATTTCGTCTGAGCGACTGGCAAGACTGTCATAACGCGTTTTCAGTCCGGAGAGAGCCAAAGTTGTGTTTAAGAGACCTTCGATGCGCTGGATTGAGATGTCGCACCCTCGTTTTCGCCAGAGACATGTTTCTGCATGTGCCGTGACAATCATATCCTGGTACCTTGCGATAATATTGTCATAGATCTCGGCTGAGATGGCGAAGCTGTCTTCCTCGTCCGCACTTTCGTCACTAGGCTTCTCGGAAGACTTGAGCAACTCCTTGTCGATATTGAGATCAATATACAACCTCTCCTTGCAAACACCACATGCTACTGTATCTGTATCAACACAAACCCAGCCTCGTTTTGCCCACGCTGCGGCATTGATGGTATCGATAGATGGGACATGCCATTGTGTCACATGACGAAATGTCTCCAGTCGCTGGAGAAAGGCAGCTCGGCTTGATGGGAGATAATGTCCGCTCAGCGCAACCGGCACAGAAGTATATGATGCTGTAGTGTTTGAGGTGGGCGTAATCCGACGTCGCTTAGAGGAGTCAGAGGCGGCGTAGAGAGACAGTGAGGTTGCGGAGGCGTTGACGGATGAACGCGACGGTGAGGCTGAAGTCGAGGGGGGAGCGGAGGCGGCACCATCAGTAAGTGCCTCGAGGATGCGATCGAATTTGCGCTTCTTGGTCTCAATAGCATACGACATTATGAGGCGAGGCTCTAAGTAGGGTAGATGGACGCAGTTCAATGATTACAAGCCTAGAATCGAGAGTGTCTTTTTCTGTGCCTTGCGCATTCCACATTCAGAAACGAATAAACATGCGCTAACTTGATTTGGTTAGTCACAATTTTGGCTGAGGAACCCAAGTCGCTTCTCTCACTTCAGACTTTATCGTTCTTCACTTCACTCAGCATGTCACAGTATATGGAAGAGATGAACATGTGTCTTCCTCGTGCGATGGTGACTGTCACTGAAAGAAATGCAAACCTGAAAGCCGCCAGACACAACCCATTGCTAATCACTAACTGCCTACACTGGCGGTTCTCATGTGCCTCATCTGCCTCACCTGCTTTCACTCACCTCTTCAATCTACCGTACCTGCACTATGTGATCTACTCGGTCGTGAAGATTGAAACTGTCATAATGACTCCGGTGGACTGGAAACACAACTTTCCACACGCGGCCAGTCCTGCTCCCGTGAAGGATGGATTGCCCAAGTCTTCACTCGCGCACCCCAACATGTTGCCTTCTTTCACAAACGCGCCACTCTTCCTCACCTCTAATTACTTTCTGCATGACTCGTTTGACTGAACATCTCCTGTCTAGGGCTTTCTAAAGACTGCTATTGTTATGTTTGAGGTTCTTCCAGGACTCTACCATTTGCGATGAGCTCGCCTTTATCAGGCACGAGCTGGTCGTCCAGCAATGAGCTGGATGAGATTAAGGTGGTGGCCGAGGCTGAGCCACAATACCCTGTCCGGTAGGATTTCTGCCAGCAGATACATTAGAGAAACAGATAATTTCTAACAATAGTAGGCACAACGGATGGACACACGTCAATCTGCCACCTATGTCCGTCACAGCCAATCTTTCCTCTCCCCCATCCTCTCAATCAGACATCGACGATGAGGAAGTACCGTCGGTGCTTACCAGTCATTTGCGCGCCAGGATCCTCAGCTCAGCCCTCCGCATCAAGCAAGGCCGAAAGGGCAGGAAACGGACGACCGCCATCTTCGCGTCACCACCAACCAGATATCACTTTGAACTTGTTTGGCCTGGGGATTACCTAGACAGTACGATGCCAGCGGATGAAGACGAGAAGCCATGCACGAGGATCACTCGACCAGTCAAGAGGACGAGCCTCAATCGTCACAAGGCCCAAGACGGTATCCTGCCGATTTATCCAAGTGGAGTCAAAATGACCGTGACTGGGCATAAACGAACGTCATCAGAGGCATTCTTTGACTCTACTGAAGAGCCATCAGCAAAGAAGACACTAGCCATGACACAGGGTGGAAAGGTCTCTGTTTCTGTCGCGGCTGAAAAGGCACTCATTACTAGGGTGATATATCCAGCTTCGACCCTAGCCGGAGTAGGATCCTCCCTGTTCCTCAAGGCACAATCAACACCAACCAAAGTCAGTGAGATGATGAGACAGGAGCCGCCAATGGAGCCGTTCATGGACCCCTTTCCCTTGCCTACAACACTAACAATGGCGACACCCACCGAACCAGTAACACAATTCCTTGCAATCTCCTTCCGTGTTGAAGCGGCTCTTCGCTATGTCTCGTCTATCTTTTCGTCGCGATCAACTACACCATTTTACGGCGTGAAGAGTTCTGAGCCCAGCACTCCCACATTGATGAATCTTCAGATTTTTGCCGTTGTGGACGGCACTGAGAAGAATGGCGTAAGAAACACTATTTCTCTCGCAGACTTGTTCTTTCCAGATTGCCCGCCCTATCTCACAGGCACCATCGGTCCTCAAACCACTTCTCAGACGATGGACCCTGCTTCTTACATGACATTGCCCAAGGGCACTTTTGTGAGGGTCATTGTATCGATCTCTTTGACACAAGTCTCCAACGGCTTGGCCGCACCGGGAAGAGGTGCGCGTCTTATGTCGTGGCCAAATCCTGGCGTGAATACACCGATACCAGGTCGAGACACATATAAAATCAGCATATTGAACATTAATTACTCCAATTGGGGCGAGGTCCAGTTGATGATGCGCATCCTTGACTCGAAGCCGGAGACCTTGCCATTTTCTCCTCCAGTTATCCCTCCTTCAATTTCGACAGGGAGCGGCCTGGTAAGCGTCCGAAGCAATGAGTTTGACCTTCCCCCCATGCCCCTCTGGAGCAACAAAGGATAGAAAATGGTGTGCCGACTTTTGTGGGTGATGACTTTTCAACCAGGACATCACCAAGAGCTCTCTAGAGAGAATTTGTTTTTCTGTGTGAAAAGAAAAAATGTCGACCCAGACAAGGGGGTTGTGAACTGTGCGAATGTTGCCCAGGATGAAGACTTCACTGAGCGATGAAAAAGAAGAAATGCCGTGGAAAAACAAAAAAGATGTGACACTCAATGTCGCGGACAAAACTAACTTGTCAAGTGGCTAGATGGCCGATGAGCGAGCTACAAAGAGCCACGAAGGGGGTTGGTTGGTCTGTCAAGGAAGTGTTTGATTTGATTTGATTTTGAATTTGCATGCAAAAGCGGATATCCATATTGCCCGTCAACACAACCCAACAACAATGGTGGAGTACAACTATTACTCTATCAGCAAGACCTTGCCATAGGATGGCGGAGGCTGAACACAATGAATGCTCTCTGTGTAATAACATCAAAGAACTTGAGAATAACAATAGCCATAACCCAATTCTCGTCCGATCCGACGTGTATTGGCCATTACCATTAGCATTACCAATACCATGGCACCTATACCCATCCCATAATACAGCACTTGGTACAAACAAAAATAACACACCGCCAGCGTGAGCGTCGAGCGTCGGCGTCATTACTTCCTCTTCAAGTATCCCACAGGCTTCTTCTGGTTCTGAAACTGCCAAACCCTCAGCAACCCGTCATAACACTCCAGCGCCCAGTCCCAGAGGCCGGCCCTCCGCTGAGTTTCGTAGAACGAATCGTTAAGCACGATGCCCTTGGTCTTCAGTACCCAGCGTTGAGAAATGATCTCTCGTAGGAAGAGCAGAGCCTTGAGTTCCTTGGGATTCACTTTTCTCATCCTGGCTCGTCGGGCGAAAATCTGCGGAGATCCGAAGAGATGCCACATTTCCGGGGGCGGAAGGCCAGCGTTAGGAGGGACGGGGGATGCAAGGAGGCTGGCCCTGTTTTCCCATGGCTGCCGGATTTTCTTGGTGACGATGAGCCAATCGCGCATTCTCCTCCTGGGTTCAACATCGCTTCTGACCTCCTCGAGATCGATGCCATCCAGTGCTGCGGCCGCGGCAGCGACATGCTGGATCAGGCGGTCCGGTCCACGCAGGCGAGGCTCTGCGGCACCACCACTTACTTCGTCGTAACGATAGCGCCAATCCCATTCCTCAACCACACAGATCTTTCTGCAAAGAATCTGATTGTCAAATGGGTCAGCTGCCCTCATAATGTGGAGCATGTGGCTCTCTCGTTTGTTCAAGGTTGTTCTAGTCGCTGCTGAGGTGTTGACGTCGCCATTCATCTCAAAGTCTCCAGAGATAAGAGGTCCTTCGACCCACAAGGTCGTGGCCGGGCCATCAGGATCGCTGTCAAAGACGTCAAGGAACCGGGGCGATAATGGATCAGGTTGGGGTATAGTGATCTCAATTTCCCTGGGACTCTGTCGCGGATCGTTGCTGGCCTGTGCGCCCCCCTTGTCTTTTGCTTTTGCTTTTGCCTTTCCTTTGCCTTTTCGCGACGGACCTTCCAGCGCTGCCGTCGCTGGGGATGGTGAAGGGATCTCCTAGCCCTTCACACCCAACGATCCGATGAGACCATCTCTCCATCGCCCGATGTCCTTCGCCTTTTTGTTCCAGAGTTTCTCAGTCTTTTCCATCTCTTTGCGTGCGGCATCAAGTGCTTTTTGTGATTCCTGGACACGTTTCTGTAGCGCGTCCGCGTCAAGAAGACGGACATTCACATTCTCTGTCGTTGCAGTGTTTGCTGTAGTAGCAGGTGCTGATGGCGCCGGCGAGGGTTTGTTTGCGTGTTGAGGACCCGTGCTCGGACCAGCAGTGACGCGATTGTCCTGCTGTGCAGGATCTTCCATGCCCATTGATGGGCCTCTTGAGGGCAGGCGCAGCGCATTCGTCCTAGAATGCGGACCCAGGCCGGGAAGAGAGTTGATCCGCCCACTAGAAGCAACTCTGGTGGCTTGATGAGGGTCCCGAGTGGAGAGATCCCAGCTCCCGGGCATGTTGACCGGATCGTCGCCATCAAGGCCTTCCTCGCCCTCCTCATCAAGGCCTTCTCCATCGCCGTACAGCTCCTCTTCGCCTTCTTCATCGCTATCGCCGATCTCGCCGTCGATCTCGCCGTCTTCGTCGTCGAATGGCTCAAACTCGTCGTCATCAATCATCTCACCATCCTCACCCATGATCCAAACTACACCGTGCCGTTCACCCTGTCTGGCAAGCCTCTCCATCCCGCCGCCGAGGTTGGTGTAATCGTCGGCTTCGAGGACACCCAATCCAGCCATGGTACCCACATCTCCGAACTCTTCTAGATAAAGTTGTCGTCGCTCTTCAAGCTCGAGTAGCTTCTCACCCTCATCAGCGCTGAGATGTCTTAGAACCCATCCATTAGGTGTCACCAGACATCTCTTCAGTAGATCGTCTTTTCGCTCCCCTGCATCGGCAACACTAACGGCATTGCCGTCCTTCAGTGCTTGCTTCTCCTTGAGTGGTAGGTAGATATAGCCAAAAGCATCGTTGGCACTGTATCCGTTGCCATCAAGATACTCTTGGCCGCGTCGGGAGTCTGGCGGTAACTTATATGTAGCCGAGTTGAACGACGGTGGATTGAGCCACGGGTGATCCCGAGAGAGGTCCCCCATTTGGATGAGCGAGGAGAAGATCTTGGGCATCGAGGAGATATGTTCGTTGAGGAGTTTTTGCATAGCTGCATGGGCCGAAACGTCGTCAGTGGCTGTTGCCATCTTCTCCGCGTCATTGTACAGGTCTTGCATTGTGTAGGCGCTCTTGGCCTCCTCGAATCTAGACGTTGACTCGTGTCGAGGTGTTGCTATTCGAGAAGAGCCTGATTTCTGAGTGTGGCTCGCAGATTTTTCTGCCTGGTGCGAGGCGGGAAGAGCAGCCTTCTCCTTTTCCTCTGCCTTTTTTGAATCTGCTTTTGCCTCAATCGTTTCCACCTTCTGTTGTTCGGTTATGTCCTGCGATTTCATGCCAACATTCTCTGTCTTTGGCTTCACTCTCTCGTCGCCACTAGCTGGAGCGCTACTCCCCACTCGCTGCTTCTTTTGTTTCTTTTGTCGAGCGATGACCGGCGCAACCTCTTCCACTACGGGCGTTGTAGCAGCGCTTGGGACCGTATCTGTGGTTTCGGTTGTCTTCTTCGCCTTCTCTCGGCGTTCTTTCTTTAGTTGGGCCTTGCTTTTGGTTCGTTCTGGAGCAGATCCAACAATACTAGGCGGAGGAGAGCTTGCACGGGATACGTCATGGGAGAGGCGCTCAGACATTGCTGGAGTCGAAGGCCTACTAAGCTGAGCCGATGAGAGAGACAGCCGCCTCGAGCCTTTCTTGATAGCAGAAACTGGAGGCACAGCGCTGGATTTCTCGGTCGTAGAAGAAGCAGGGGTCTGTTCTAGCGTCTTGCTAAGCGTTCCAGTTGTCACGCGTAGAGTTCTTGGCCGTGGGATAGACGTCCTCGATGTCTCGGATGGAGTTGTGGTAACAGGCGTAGTCGGTCGAGGGCTCATAGTCGCCGGTGTCCCAACGACCGCCGAATCCAACATCGGCGTGGCAGATTTGTCCAATGCACTGGTATTGACAGAAGGCAGCGATGAGGTGGTAGGGGCTTCTGAGGCGGTCCCTGAAGGTAATTCTGATCTTCCAGATTTCGTTGCTGGGGCTTTCCCTTTACCCTTGATGTCTTCGACCTTTGCAGGAGTACGGGGGTCATCTTTCTTCTGAGGTTTCTCATCAACCCCTCCCAATACATCTGACTTTTTCTCAGTCTCAAGCTTCTGGCGGTTAGACTTTGGCTGAGGGGAGCCTAGACTGATATCAGTCACTCCAAGGCTAGCCTTCTTGCTTGAGATAGGCGCATCCTCAACCGGCGCGACCTTGGCGTCTTCCTTTGTTTTCGGAGTTGATGTGCGAGGGGCAATCGGAACGATTGGCACTGCTGGAGCGATAGGTACGGAACTGACTGATGTACTTCGTTGGCCGACCGCCAGAGCAGGCTGGGTTGGAGACGTCGACCTGATGGGAGGGGGATGTCCGTGGCTGAGCTCAAATCCAGGAGGAACTTTCGGTGTCGATGACCGGAGGCCGGAGCTGTAATGACTCTGGAAGGACGAGACGCGTGAATGCAGAGCTGAAGGCTGTGTCTCTGGACGGGCTGGCAGAGGGGGGAAATTCTTCTCATCCACTGCAAGGACAAGGTTAGCGAAGCATCCCAAACAACATCTAAATGCAGAGAGGACGCAGCCAGAACCATCAGACGTCGCGGCGGTGGGTACTTGACACGGGCAACAGGGTGCAGGCAAAGACAATCAGGCTTTTCGCATCATCAGATCCCTCAGCACAAGACTTTTCTTTTTTACAGTCTCTAGAACATTTCACCTAAAATGATTTGTAAGAAATTGTTTTTCTGATCTGCCTGACCATTTCGTAGCATGGTCAGAGAAGGGTACTAACATACATAACAAAGCCGTGAAAATCGGGACGATTGATGCCGCTGAAGAAAAGCCTGATGCCGATAGATTGATTTTTCGATGCGTCCCACGCTCGCCCGGGACCATGACTGTGACCATGCCGTGACTCCACTAAGCTTTCGCCATTTGGCTACTAGCTTATGCATTGCTCGCTGATCCGAACAGGTAGGCCTCATACCACCAACGCCAAACAGAATCCATCATAAAGAAGAGAAAAGGAATGAAAGGGCAATTGAGATGTTGTGGTTGGGATGTCGTCTGGTCACCATCGATTGTACCCGCCGCCGCCGTATAGGTTGGATTGCTGGTACCCACCTTGATTACCCCCAAACAGCCCCTGCCCTGTCGTGGTGCCCTGATGGACTCTTGCTGACGCAATGCTCGGGTCTGCAAGATGCTCTACACCACCTCCTGAAGAGGAAGTGTTAGCGTGTCTGTGCTTCTTGCCCTTTTTCCTTTGCTTGACAAGTCCGGGGTCTTGGTATGTCTGATACTGAGCGTAGAGCGGGTTGAGGACGCCAGGGGCAGGGGCTGATAATGGGGGTGACCGAAGGGGGTTATTTTGCAAGGAAAGGAGCAACTCACGCTTAGACAGATCATGACCTTGATTTGTTCCACTGCGATTTCTCGAATAGACTTCGGCGTTAATATCTTTGGAAGTTCCGAAACCAGGGTTTGTGAAATTCTGGCCATGAGCGAACATGCCGCCGCCACTGACCGGAGGCGTCCCCGCTGTTGGTAAACCAGGTGGAGGTCCTTGAACGCCGCTGGAATAGAAGTTCTGCTGCTGCCCTTGGAAGCGACTGGTTGTCCCAGCTTTGGCGTCGTTATTGAAGTATCTAGAACCGTGACGTTGATGACTGCTAATCTGCTCGTACTGGGCTTGGCTGTACTGTGGTCCTCTTCTGTCAAAATCTGACATCTCGAAAGCGATGTTCTGGGAGCTGGGTTGACCGAGGCCTGGTGCTTGTGGCAGATTGCTAGTGTTGAGAAGGCCCAATTGTTGTCGTTGTTGAGGCGTCAAACTGCGATTATTCAAAGCCGTTGAGGGAAATTGGTCGCTCAAAGACTGGGAGGGCCGTCCAATCGCACCACGAGCTGAAGAACCTCGAGGATCATCCTCTGGTTCGCCCCCTAGCGCGAGGCTACCAGCAACGATGTTGTCTTCGTCTAGAGTCTCTTCGGCGGCAGATGTGGCTTGGGCTTCTAGCTTGGCCTTTGCCTCAGCCTCTAGCTTTGCACGTTCGGCTTCTTCTTTCTCCCGCATAGCGCGGCGTTTGGCACCGCCATAAGGGTCGATAAAACAGGGCATGTCGTCCACTGCGGCGCGAGCTTCGGGGCTGAGACACGAGTCGTCGTAAATGAACCGGTAGCTCCGTGATACACATCGTAGAACCTCCTCGTATTGTTTTTGTATCGGGTCCAGAGGTTTCGGCTTCGGTCTGGAAACTGTTTGGTCTGGTCTCGATACCGTCTTTGACGGGGCGGTCGAAGTGGATGGTTGACTGGCATGAGGCTCCTTACCTTTGTGCTCGTCCGTTTTCTGAGCAGCCAGCGAAGCATGTGTAATTTGCGGACTGGGAGTGGCCCTGCTGTTGGTCTGACTTGCTCGCCTCGTGCGTGCGACGGACGCATTGGCGGTTGCCCAGCTAGCTGTGGAGGGTAAGGCAGAACCATCGTGGGAATTCTTCCTGCTGTTGTCATTCTCTTTGCTCCCTTGCCGAGCCATTGGTTGGGTGACTGAGTTTTGGGCGGCGGAATGAGGTCGAGGTGGAGGGTTCATTTGCGAAGTCGTGGCTGACACTGCAGGTCGAATCGGTAGTTTTGCGCCGTGGGGTTCGTTTTGCAATGAGCTGTGCTGGCCATCTTCACCCGTCTCATGAAGAAAGCTGCAGTTCTTATTGGTACACGTTTCCCCTCGCAGATAGGCGGAGCAGTACTTGGTGGTGCCAAATTGGGCTCTCAGAACACGATCGCCGTTGAGAGATCCATCGACAGTGTTGATGCAGAGAGCAGCGTCCTCTTTGCGAGCATATGTCACGTAAACACCGATTCCCTGGTTAGCAGCGCCTGGTTTGGCTTTGCTCACCACAATTTTCTCTATTTCGCCGTACTGACCGAAATATTCTGGACCTCGGAGTGTTTGAAGCAGTGCCTGTTCATCTTTGATCTGTGGTATGAGGCCGATAACGTAAACAAGATTTTGTTGCTTGACACGCACACCAGCTAGATTGCGACGTGAAGAATTCTCCACTTCACGTTTCTCGGTTTCCTTTCGTTTGGCTGCGGCTTGCTTTTTATTCTTGTTTAGTTGGTCGAGTTTGAATTCTTCAGCTGTTGGGATTTTGTACTGGATGGTCTTTTCATCGTAAGGTCTTCGACAGTTTGGGCAAGTGCTCTTTTCGTAGGTGGTCTTCAGACTGTTGAAGCAGAACTGACATATCTGCGTCGAGTGTTAGTAGTGATCGAGCCAAAATCGAATGGGCCGACATCAGAGTGCTGGAGATGGTAGAAGTATTCTAGGGAGTCGATGCTTACCTGGTAGCCACAAGGACATGGTCTGAAGTTCTTGTCGGATAGGTCAAACTCTTCGATGCACAGTGGGCTGTCCGTCACGTAATCAGCCTCGAGCCAACATTGCGACAGATCGACTGCAGCTGAACTCACCAAGTCTCCTCGTCATCATCGATGACGGTATCCTGCGACCTACTCATAACGGGGGAGGTGATGATATGGTTGTGAAAAGTTCCACCTCTTTCGGCTCCTGCACCAGTGAATAAAGGTTAAGAGTGTCCTCCATGCACTATGGGGTTTAATATCGAGTCTAGTGTGTAGTAGTCATCTGAGGAGTACTGGGCAGTTTGGGGGACTGAGTCTCAGGAATGATATTGATCGTGACGAATGGCTGAAATGAGGCAAAAAGGGAGTATACAAAGTGAAGCGAAATGAAATACGCCAGCGAAAGCCACGGAGAGAAGGCGAAGGTTGCGTTGCAAAGACTCGCGACTGCGGCAAAGAACCTCGCACTAAGCCAGATAGCGTCTAGTAGACAAGCTCCGGTCTTGGCATTTCAAAGAGCTCCGCCATGACCCTGCGAGGTTATGGGACTGCTTCATCTTGTCAATGAGATTCTGTCTGATCCAGGCCTGCATTTCCACGGTCTGAGACCTGCAAAATGTCGTCAACAAAGACAATACTGCGTCTGGCTAGCAAGAGGCCACTAGGTGCGGTTTCACAGGCTAAGGGATGCGTCCAGCGCGCTTCCCTTTCTCAATCGACGAGGAGTTATGCCGCCGACAAACCTGGACCTGACCTCAGAACAGCCGGGCCCGATCTCCTCTCCGAGCTGCGAAAGGCTCCTCGCCCGCGTGAGTATGGAATACTGAAGAATCCGAACAAACTGCTGACTTTCGGAGAAGCCCAGGGTAAACTATCAGCACCCATCGTCAATGACGCAGACAAATATGCAGACAAAGCCCTACCTCTCCATCAATACGGCCAATACCTGATGTCCTGCCTACCCAAATATATCCAGCAGTTCTCAGTATGGAAGGACGAACTCTGCATCTACATTTGCCCCACCGGTGTCATTCCTGTCTTTACGTTTCTCAAGTACCACACTGCGGCAGAATATACCATGGTTGCAGATATTACTGCAGTAGACTTTCCTACCAAGAGCTACCGGTTTGAAGTTGTATACAATCTGCTCAGTGTGCGACACAACTCCAGAATACGAGTCAAGACATATGCGGATGAAGCGACCCCAGTCCCTTCCATCACGTCCCTCTACGACGGCGCAAACTGGTATGAGAGGGAGGTCTATGACATGTTTGGCGTATTCTTCACTGGTCACCCTGATCTACGGCGAATAATGACGGACTACGGTTTCGATGGACATCCGCTGCGCAAGGATTTCCCCTTGACTGGGTACACCGAAATCAGATACGATGAGGAGAAGAAGCGAATTGTGGTGGAGCCCCTTGAAATGACACAGGCGTACCGAAACTTTGAGGGTGGTTCAAGTGCTTGGGAACAGGTTGGTGTTGGCTCGGACCGGAAACCAGCAGAGTTCAAATTGCCCACACCAAAGCCTGAAGAGAAGAAGGAGGAGAAGAAATAGGCCCAGCAGTCTTGCTGGCCGAAGTCTGCAAAGGTTCATGAATTGGAGGAGAGAATGTAGAGCGTCTCAAGACGCCATGTACATATGGGAGTCGATACATGAACGCGGTTCCATTGCAGGCCTGTCGTCTCCAAAAAAGATGCTGACATCCAGTCCCTCTGCAAGCGCATTCACTTCCCCTCCTACTTTATAAGGCATCACGACCAACCACTCTAAAATGGTGCACATTCATCTCATTGTGAGCGACCTCGACTGCGCATTCGCGTAGTGGAGACAGTCTCCTCGTCGCTCCAGGATTTTAATTCATCTCCAACCAGTAGTAGCTATATACATAACATCCTTGTAGCTTCCCGTACATCATCGAGTCTCCTATGTCCCCTCACTTTCGTCATGAGCACAGTTTTTTTTCTTCTTTATTTTTGCCCATTTCTTTCAGAATGTTACTTGGTCGTCGAGGGTGTGTGGTTCTTCGTTCCCCTAGCGTGTACATATCACGGAGCATTTTCTAGAAGAGCCAGCCATCTACAGACCAAATACAATATACCTGACATACAGTACAAAGCTACGGAAGCATAGTAGGGTGCAGGAACCTTTGCATCTATCTACTGCAGGTGGGTGAGTGGGATCTCTTCTGTGCTGGGGAGAGGCTTTGCCATTGCTTCTACTTCTGCTTCTGCTTCTCTCCGCCGTGGGCTGACCAGTCAAGATCGTCACCAGGTCGCGTGTGTTTGATGGCTGGGAGAGTGGGCGTCAACTTCATAAAGAGTCAGTTGAGGGTCTAGAAACTATGTAACTATATTTCTTAGAACTGGTTTCTCGACCACTCTGACATTTTAACTCACCCCATCTCCTAGGTAGGTATTTATTCCGGTTCTACACCATCTCGATGATGGATGGCTAAATGGGCATGGAAAAGCAGTGCTTCCGCTTCCGACAGGCGTCTCCGCGCAGGTAAGATTATTTGCGCAAGGATGTTGAAAGTTGAAAAGGTGACGACCTGATCTCTATCTATCTGGTGTATTCAATGTGACAGTCCCTGGCCTTTTTTTTTGGTTGAACAAATCCGGACTCCCGTCTTCTCAATAAAGACTCTCAAAGAGTGACGCTGCTGACACTCAAGACGCCCTTGGCGCCGACGAGCTCTCTCTTGAGGTCGTCACCCACCTCTTTGTCCACACCCAGTATCATGAGTGCCTCGGTCGTCTCCTTAGGAGGGGGAGAAGGGGCTGAGCCCTTCGCGGCTAAGTTAGCAGAGAACGTCGCGGGCGCCACGCTCATAAAGTTGATATTGACGCCTTCTCGGCCGAGGATGCTGCCCACGACACCAATCTTGCCTGGTGAATCGTAATTGTGGCAGATCAGCAAGGTGCCTTCGGGCACAAAGGACGTCGCGAAGCGATCCAGCCGGGAAATAAAGGGCGAGTTATCGCTGCAGTAGCCGGAGATGATGTGTTGCTTGCTGGCAGGCTGTGCCTGTTGGTCACCTGCTGCATTGGACGATATTGAGAGTCCTTCAAGCGCGCTAGAATGCCGGCTTAACGACGGAGATCGGCTCGCAGGTCGTGCGATGAGGGTGACCAAGCTCGAGTACGCTTGCGTGGACGGGTCTCGAGACTTCTGCTCGTTGACAAAGATCCCTCTCTCCTTGGCCACCATCTCCGCGTTGACGATGTTGACGTTGAACCCCTCGGCATCGGAAATAGGTGAAGTGAGCCCTTTGATCAGGGCCGCAAAGAGCGGTTTCGTACTCGACATGTTTGCGATCTCGCCCTCGTAGATGAGGTCGAACGTATTCATGTTCCTCTGGTGGAGAGGTTGTGTAGGGGATGTAAAGTGTTGCGTGTACAAAGATCCCATCTTTTCCACCAGTTTCACGAAAGGTTGAAGAGTCTTGTATTCGGCGGGTAGGATGATGGGTGCGTTCACAGCGCTCCTCGGTAGGTCTCCCGCCAGGATCTGGAGGACCTGTTCGCAGACGTCTATGGAGACGTTTTCTTGTGCTTCAACCGTTGACGCACCAAGATGTGGTGTTGCGATGCATTTGGGATGTTGGACTAGTTTTGCTGCGGATGAGTTCGGGTCCTTATGTGGTGGTTCCGAAGTAAATACATCGATCGCAGCGCCGGCTATTTGTCCAGATTCCAAGGCAGCCAGAAGGGCTTCTTCATCGATGATGCCTCCACGAGCTACGTTGAGGATGCGGGCGCCACGTTTCATCGAGTTGAGTTCGGCTGTTGACAGCATACCGCGGGTTGCAGCAAGCATTGGTGTGTGGATTGTCAAAAAGTCGACAACAGGCAAAAGCTCCGACAGAGACTCGACGAGTTGGACGTTGGCAGCGGCTGCCACTGATGGGGAGGCATAGGGATCTGCTGCGACGACATTCATGCCCAGCCCGCGTGCCATTCGAGCGACAATCAAGCCGACTAACAGACACCAAAATCGTCAGAACCAGCCTCGACCCATGATGAAGACGGAGAAAACATGTATACCTTTCCCTAAGCCCACAACTCCCAACGTCTTCCCCTTGACCTCCACACCAACGAGCCTGCTCCTCTCCCATTTCCCTGCTTTGAGACTCGCACATGCATCGGGGACATTCCTCGCCATGCTCATCAACAGGGCAATAGTATGCTCGGCAGCAGCCTGAATATTCCCACTTGGGGAATTCACCACAACAATGCCCAACCGCGTTGCAGCAGGGACATCGACATTATCTACACCAACGCCGGCTCGGGCGACTACTTTCAACTTCCGCCCTGCCTGCAGGAGATCGTTGGTGACCTTTGTCTCAGATCGGACGAGCAGAGCATCGTAATCCGGGATGATCGAAACAAGTTGTTCCGGCGTTAGACCTTGCTTTTCATCGACAATAAGGGTTTTCCGAAGCAGAGCCAGTCCGTCTGGGGACAGTTTCTCCGGACAGAGGACTCGGGCCTGGACTGTATCACCATTGCTGGTAGCCATTTTGCTCCAAATTCAGTCCACGATTTTGCGTGGGACAGTTAGAGGGCGGTGTACGTATCACTAGCAAATGGTATTGGTTGACAGCAAAAAATTTGCTGAAGCTGAGAATGCAAAGCTTTCAGGAACCCAACAATGCGAGACCGAAAAGGGACAGTGGCGGTTAGAAGATTGGACTGTGAGGCCAATGGAAGGGACAGATAGATAGATCTGATATTTCTCGTGCTTTTGACTACCCTTTGATGTCCAAAAAAACCAGTGATCGAACCACGTTTTGGGTTGTGCAAAGACATTTTCATTTTCTCCGTGGGTCGGCCCATGCTCCAAGTCCATTCGTTGGCTGGATGTTGTGCGTCACTCATATTATTAGTGACAAACAAGCAATGAAGTCGACAAATGTGGAGTTTCAAGTGGCCGAAGTCGCAGGGGCAGGAATTTTGATGCCAACCCCACGATCTGGGGGAGTTTGTTCGGGGATTTTGGGGGGTGGCAAACTGTGCAAACAGAGCAAACAACTTGGCCCGAAGCAAAAACAGCCATTCCCAGACCATGTGTCGCCTTCCAAAGAACCAGATATACACCCAGAAACATTTCTCAGTATTCCAGTGCCTCTTCAAACAAGCCTCTCAGTTGCTCTCTTTCCTCATTCACCTCAGCACTCAAATTGGGCGCCAACATGAGGACCCGTCTTTGAGGCAATGTCCCCTCTACCAGATCGTCAATACTCTCCCGTGTGAACCCCAGGGGTTTCAAGCCTCGAGGCTGGTCTCCCAAGCCGATGAGAAACTCTGATAAGGCTTCACTGAGGACCTCGCCTGCGCTTTCCTTCTTGACATTGGAGATGTCCTTGCCAAACACTTCTGCTGCGGCCAAATGTCGCTCCGGATTGCTTGGGCCGGTGAACTTGAACACAGCAGGAGCCGTCACGGCAACACTGACACCATGGGGGATGATAGGGGTCTCAACCACGTACCCGGAATGTTTGTAACCCGGGTTTTGACCACTGATCGGGTAACTCATGCCGTGGCACAGATGGACACCGGCATTGCCAAAGCCGACACCAGCCAAAGTCGCCGCAAGAAGCATTTCACTTTGAGCTTCGTGGTCTTCCGGGTCTTTGACGGCGCGAGGCAAGTATTTGACTGTCGCTCTCAGCGCATTCAACGAGAAAATATCCGAAATGGGGTTTGCACCCTGGTAGGCTGGGCGATTGATGGGATTTGTAGGTCTGGGGGTTCTCTCGTGGTAAGGAATGGCAGTCCAGGATTCGAGTGAGTGGCACAGCACATCCAAGCCAGAGGAGGCATGAACAGCTGATGGCATTGTGCGAGTATTGAGGGGATCACAAATGCCTAGAGTAGGCTTGAGGTTTCGGTGTGCGATACCGGTCTTTGCCCGCTTCTCCACTAGATCGAAGATGGCTGTTCCTGTCGTCTCTGAACCTGTGCCAGCCGTGGTCGGGACAGCCACAAGCGGCTTGAGTGGTTTTGTGATTGGCAATCCCTTACCCAGGGGAGCATTGACAAAGTCCAAGAAGTCCGCATCTGGGAAGCAAGTGTATAGATTCATCAATTTCGCCGTGTCAATTACCGAACCTCCTCCCACAGCCAGAAAAGCGTCTGGCTGATATGGTTTGGCAAAAGCAATGGCATCCTTGACGGAGCTGTCCTTTGGCTCGACCCGGCATTTGTCGTACACGGTGAACTCGATTCCTTCTTTGGTCAACCCTTCAATTACTTGCTTCATTGCGTTCAACTTGGACACATTCCCGTCGGTGACCACGCAAACCCGCTTGGCGCCCATGTTCTTAAAATCCATGCCCACCTCTTTTGTGCAGCCTGGTCCAAAGCGGATCGAGCTAGCGGCCATCTCGAACGCGTATTCTTTGGATCTCGAGCTGTCGATGGGAGTTGCCAGTCTTCGTCGGGCCTCGCCGAAAGCTGCATGGTCATGATGGTAATTGGGGTTGGAATGACATGGACAGTTGGGAGGATGACCGAACTGGATCGCTCGCAGCAAAGAGGTCGACCGCTGGG